GAGAGAGAGAGAGAGAGAGAGAGAGAGAGAGAGAGAGAGAGAGAATGTGGACAGCTGTCCTAGGGAACCTAGGGAACAACATTCAAAACTGACCTTTGGCCTCCACATAGACTTATACAGACAGACAGACAGACACAGACAGACAGATAGACAGACAGATGTACACACACACACCTGAAACTCAGGCTGACTCAGTATCCCTCTCCTTTGGGTTCTTATTTGCTTGCAGGTGGTAGGGACAGAGCCCAGCCTGTCCGAGGAGAGATCACGAGAAAGGCCTAACTGTTGGCCTGCTCCACAGGAGGTGGCGGGGTCCCAGCTGACATGGTGATTTAGTGCTTATCCATCACATGTGGCCAGACACTGGCCTCATCCATTAGAGACAGCACTATCCAGTACTGTGTACTACAGTAGCCTTGGGCTTGAGACAGGAGCTGGCACTGGACCAACGCCGTTGAATTCTGATCAATAGTACTCATTAAGTAATGGACATGCATTCACATGTCTAGTAGTTGTTTTGCTTCAGTACAAAAATTCAATGGGCAGAGTTGGTAAGCCTCTTGTCCTGAACTACTTATACCCCAGCTGCCTACACTTGGGCTTTCGATGTTGTTTTCATCCAGACATGGCAGTTTACTCTTGCAGTCCCCATACTTATGAAACTGAGGTGTGAGGACCTTGAGTTTGGGTCAGCCTTGGCTATATATTTCGACTCTGTATTTAAAAAGCTGTTTGAGGGCTCGTGACCTACCTCAGCAGGTAAAGACACTTGCTGCCAAGTCTTTGATCCCCAGGACTCATGTGGAATGTCTTAGGGTTGCCATTGCTGAGAAGAGACACCATGACCAAGGCAACTCTTATAAAGGACAACATTTAATTGGGGGCTGGCTTACAGTTTCAGAGTTCAGTCCATTATCATCAAGGCGGGCATGGCGCTGGAGGAGCTGAGAGTTCTATGTCTTGTTCCCAAGTCAAACAGGAGAATCCTGGTTCCCACGTGGCTAGGAGGAGGGTCTCAAAGTCCACCCTGACAGTGACACACTTCCTCCAGCAAGGTCATCCCTACTTCAACAAGGTCACACCTCCTAAAAATGCCACTCCCTGGGCCAGCATATTCAAACCACCACATGGAGTAATGAGAGAACTGACTTTAAGCTGTCCCTACTGCCACATGCACACTCACCATGGCATGCTTGTATCTACACACACACACACACACACACCACCAATAAAAATGTAAAGTTTTTAACATTGAGAATCACCATTGGATTTTCCTAAATGATAGCCACAAATGGTAAGTTTCAGTGCTGGATCCCACAGAGCTTACCTCTCCCTGTTCTTGAGATGAATCCTGGGTTGCCCAACCCCTAAGGCCTCTGGACAGATTCCCATCCCAGGACTGTGCACCAGGCTTGGTTTGCTATCTGCAAGTCTGGCCATGGGACACACTGACTTCTTCTAGTAACAAGGGTGGAGAACTGGATGTTTACAGAAGAGGACTCGGCTGGGACACCAGGTGTCTGGGTGAGCATTTTGGCTTTGTTTTATCCTTGTCTTCTCCTCTCCCGTGACTTGTGCTCTACTCTTCCCATCCCAGTGTGAGGAGATGAAGGCCACTGTGCAGGAATGTGTGCAGACCCCTAGGCACAGCAAGGAAGCCCTGAACAGGCTCAACCAGGCTATCCAGCAGCTGAGGATGGAGGCAGGTGGTACTCAGAGTCAGGTGAGGCATTGGGTCTGGGGTTTGGGGGTCTGAGGTGGGGTGCCATTACCTAAGACACCTTTCTAGATCCCCTCATCCTTTGGATGAAGTGATTTGTGTGTGTGTGTGTGTGCTTGTGCACCGCGGTGTTGGCTACATGGGCAGCTTATGCTTCCCTTTGCCTGAGCTTTGTTTTAAAAGGAGAGATAATTAACAAAGAGGGTATGTATAAATACATATGTTCTTGGTCTTCCCTTTACACACACACACACACACACACACACACATATACATTTTTTAAAAAAAATTATTTAATGTATGAGTGCTCTGCTACATATATACCCACCTGCCTAAAGAAGGCATCAGATTTCCCTATAGATGGTTGTGAGGCACCATGTGGTTGCTGGGAATTGAACCTCAGGACCTCTGGAAGAGCAGCCAGTGCTCTTAACCACTGAGCCGTCTCACCAGCTCCCTGTGTTTGTATATTTTTTAATGTATCTGGTTTTGTTTGTTCTTGCCTTAATATTAATTCTAATTAATAATTAATTATTATTAATTAATTAATGGTCAGAAATTACCAAAGATTCACCAAAAACTCAGTTTGCCAGTTTTTCCTTAAATACGTGAAAAACACATCTGTAACTCCAGCATTCAGAAGAGCTCAGGTTCCAGGCTACCCTGTGCTATAGAGTGAGTTCAGGGGGAGTTTGAGTTACAAGGTGTATTAGTGAGAGTTCTCTGGAGTCGCAGAATGTAGGGACTGTCTCTATATATTAAGGGAATTTATTGAAATGACTTGCAATCTGTAGCCCAACTAACCCAACAATGGGCAGCTATGCATGGGAAGTCCAAGAATCTAGTAACTTCTCAGTCCCCGAGGCTAGGTGTTTGAGCTGGCCCTCTGTATAAGCTGGAATCCTGAAGAAGTACGTTCTAACAGATGTACTAGGAAGTAAGTACAAGCAACCAAGGAAGAGTGGGTCTTCCTTCTTCCGATGTCCTTATGTGGGCCTCCAGCAGAAGGTGTGGCCCAGATTAAAGGTGTGTACCATTACACTTGGATTTGGAAGATGTGTACCATTACACTTTGTCCCAGGCTGACCTTGAACTCAGAGATCTGCTTGCCTCAGTCTCCTGGGATTAAAGGCATGTACAACCTTGCCTGAGTCTAAACTGTTCATGGCTACTACGCCTCAAGATCTGGATCAAAAGCGTGTGTCATCCCATGTCAAGATCTGGGTCAGAAGCCTGAGTCTTCTAGCCTCAAGATCTGGATCACAGACGTGCCTTCCATTTCTGGATTGCAGTGCATGAAATAATTTTATGGTTGGGGTTCACCGAAGCTCGAAGAACTGTGTTAAAGGGTCACAGCGTTAGGAAGGTTGAGAACCACTGCTCTAGACATAAACAAGTGGACAAGTTTCAGAGCAGGCCGTCACTTCCTCCAGACCATGGATCATCTTCACACAGGCACTGGCTCCAGGCCTCTGAGTAACGGCTAGGTCCCTGAGGCAGGAGGAATGAGGCTGAGGCTGTCTGTCTGTCTGTCTATCATCTATTACTCAATCTGTCATCTATCTATCTAACAATTTATCATTTATCAATCTATCAATCTATCATCTATCTATTTATGTATCTATCATCTATCAATCAATTAATCAATATCTATTATCTACCTATTATCTACCATCTGTCTATCAATCAATCTATCATCTGTCATCTATCATGTATCTATGTATATATCTATCATCTATCAATTATCTATCATCTATTATCTATCCATAATCTATCTATCTATCTATCTATCTATCTATCTATCTATCTATCTATAATCTATCTATCTATCATCTATCTATCTATCCATCTATCTGCTTTATTTCATTCCCAGCCTTGTGAGCTACAGAAAAGCAGAGACTTGGAGACCACGCAGGATGTGGCCTCAGGCAGTGCAAAGGGAAAACTGGCCTGGCTGGAGGCTGCCCTGCAACGTGCCAAACAGGACATGGCCCGGCAGCTACGTGAGTACCAGGAGCTCATGATCGTCAAACTGGGCCTGGACTTTGAGATCGCCACCTACCGCAGGCTGCTGGAGGGTGAGGAGCGGAGGTGAGGTGTCATGAGGTGAGGGGATGGGTATCGGGCCTTAGCTCTCCTGCAGGCAATCTTCCCACACCTTTATAGCTCCTTGAACAAAAAGACCCAGGGCTGGGTGTGGGCAGAGCTGTATGTCCATCAAGTCAGGGAGATGGTAAAGCCAGGGCAAGCCCAAGGAGCCTGCAGGCTGGAACCCTCTGTCTGATCTGGGAGTGTGGGAGTCAGAGGTTTCTGTATTGGGGAACCTGTTAGTGGATTGACTTAGCTCTTGCTTCTTTTTTGCCACAGGCTTGGTCTGGGAGTAGGGGCAGGGAACATGGGTAAGTGACTTGGGTAAGATATGAGATCTTGTCAACGCCCTCCCCTCCCCCCAATTCCCTCAGTCCCCTGAGAAGGCAGAAAAGGTTCATCTATCTCTCTGTGCAGATCACAGTTGGGGGGGGGGGTGCGACTGTTTCTTCTCAGGGAGTGATTCTCTATGTTCATTCTGGGAGAGGACTATGTACTTACTCCTTTGGGAGAGCCCAACTACTGAGTGTGGGCTGAGCCAGAGTCAGACAGCGAGCCATTTGTCCGCCAAGATAAGGAGACAGTGGTAGGAGGCTGGAAGGCTCTGTCTGATCTGGGAGTGTGGGAGTCAGAGGTTTCTGTATTGGGGAACCTGGTAGGTGGAATGACTTAGCTGTTGCTTCCTTTTGCCACAGGCTTGGTCTGGGACTGGGGCAGGGAGCACTATCTGGTGCTGAGGAGGGTCTATCTCTCTTGGAGAAGTCTGTGGGTCTTCCCAGTAGCCTTGGTGACGGGAAGGCTTCTCCGAATCCTCCCATTGGTCTCATTTCTCTCCCTGAAGCTGCCGGCAATGACGTCACTGGAGGTCCCGACCTGACCTCCCCTGTAAGGGCACCCGGAGTCAGTTCCTGTGGCCTGGACATGAGCGCCCCTGGTGGTGGTTGTGCTCTCTGCAGCTCCGCGGGTTGTGTTGGAGGCTTTGGCTGCCTTGGCTCCAGCTCCCGTGAATGTTGAACCCCTCCCACCGGAGAAGACTAGAAACTAGGGCTTCTGTCCAAAGACTTGGCCCTCTTGATTCAGATTCCCTTGCCCACAGAGCTGGCCCTCTTCTCCCTCCCCCCTTTTGCACCTTACCTGGAACTAGATGGGATTCTGTGTCATCCTGTAGACACGACCAGTGGCTTACCTGAACCTTGCGTCCTGTTCCTCTGACTGGCTCTGTTCTCGTTTATTATTTTTTTTCCAGGCTTGCCCTTTAATAAAACATTCTGTGGTGGCTAAGCAGCCAGCCTGTCTGAACTGTCCAGGCCATTCACAGCTCCAGCCACGACCATGAAGGAACATGGTGGTGTGTGGGTGCTAGATGACTTAGTCTTGGGTGACTTGCTATTGTACAACTCAGATGTTTATGACGGGACAGGTGGATTGATGGGTGGACAAAGCGAGAGACTGGGTAAATTCCACAGACTGTGTGTCTGGGTTCACAGTCAACCACCCTGGCAGAGGGACAGAGAGGGACAGGAGACTCCTCTGTTTCTCATCCATTCTTTGCTGTTAGTCCTGGTTTTGGAGTTGCGGATCGAACCCAGTGCCTTGTACATGTGAGACAAGCTAGTCAAGCATTCTACGGCTGGATTACATCACAGCCCCCAGCTGTCCTCTCAGCCCCATTTTAGAGACAGGGTCTCACCTGCAACTCAGACAGGCATGGAACTTCCCAGGTAGCCCAGGATTGAACTAAAAATTCTCCTGCCTCAGCATACAAGTGTTTGGGTTACAAGCATACTCTACTCCTGGATGGTGGTATAAGATCCCATACAGTTCTTAGCCCTGGGGACTTGACAGTGAGAAAGACACTCTTGGCCCTGGTCTCTGGGGCAGGACACAGGCACAGAAATAAATAAGAATAAAGAAGAATGGGAGAGGGGAAGAAAGCCCACCTCCGCTGCCTTGATACGCACTCAAAGCCAGGCTCAGGCTCATAACTAGGTGGCCCAGGCCTGCATTCTAATTTAGGACGTGATGGTGAGCCAGGAAAACATTAAGCCACAGGGAAGTATCCTCATGTCTACCTCCAGATACGAGGGATAGTTTGGTCTGAGTTTTCACAAGGAGGCTGTACTTGGACAAGGGACAGTTTTCTGAAGGTGCGGGGTAGGGTGACCAGTGCAAGACTGGCTTTTTAGGGCTGTAGAGCAAGGGTCTGTTTGGAGAGTTCACATTCTTTTCCATTGCGAAAAGGATTACATCATCAGTGTGTCTTGGGATCAGTAGTTCCTGTTCTCCACATCTCTGGGTGGGGCTCAGGTGCGTCATTAGCCAGAGGCCCAGCATCTCCTTTTAAGGCATTTAAGTGCCTAAGTGTTGGCTGTTTCCTTGTTTCAGCACCTGAGGAGCAGGTACCCAAAAGGCTCCTTTCTTGGGTAAACAGGACAGTGTCACAGGAAAGGAATGGATAGGAACGTGGCTTGCTAGGGGTCACATGTCTCATCAGCCTCACTGGGACATCTCTGGCCTTCTCTAAACAAATACTCATTCTTACTGACTCCCCCAACCCAAGGAACCCTGAGAATGTATCCCTACCTAAGTCTCCAGAGTCCAGCTCCATGTTCCTTGTATTTTCCTGGGAGGTAGTGAAAGATCTTCAGGGCCAGTTTTTCTCACTCCAGTTTCAGTGTGTGTGCCAGGGAGTGGGCTCGGAGGAAAGTGAAGGCAGAAAACTCTCAGGGACAGCAGGCAGGACTTCTGCCCAGCATCCTGTGTCCTGGCTCCCTGGAGACTGGCTGACCACATTTTTCCTTTCCTGCCCCCAAGCTTTAAGTTGCCTGGAGTCTCTCTGGAGATCCTGAGGGGCTGGGGTCAGGTTGGAGTATTTTCTTGGGCTAGAGCTATTTGAGTCAACAGAATATCTGTGGTTTAGGACACATTCTCTGAGAGGTTCCCCAAGCCGTGGGCCACATTCCAGCAGTGGATGCAGGAGACTCAGCTGGTGGTTTTATGAGGAGTCATTTGTTCTGAGTTGAGGTGACTTCTAAAGGGAGGATGGCTGTCCCCAATTCAGTCATTGTTTCTCATTAAAAGGGTGAGGCAGGTCAGAGGAAGACATTAAGGGTCATGGGAAGGGGGAAAACCCCTTACCTTAGGATTTAGCTTATATGTTTAACCAGCTGACTGAATTTAACACACTGCATGAATCAGGGAAGACAGTGTAAAAATCGAAAAGAACCCTGTGTAATCTGTTATAAGAACGAATGGGTCGTATTTGTTAAGGGCCAAGCACGTGACTTGGAGATGAATTTATGGGACTTCATCTCAATCTAAAATTGACCAACATCTCGAAAAGGACCTTACAAATTTCATTCACATTTTTTAAAGATTTATTTTTTAGTTCCATGTGCGTGTGCGTATGTCTGTGTGCCTGCAGGTTCTTGAAGAGGTCAGATGAGGACACTGGGTCCCCTAGAATGGGAGTCACAGGCAATTGTGAGCCCCTGATGGGGGCGCTGTGAACTGAACTCAGGTTCTGCGGAAGAACAAAAGGTGTTCTTTATCGATGCTGGGTCATCATCTCTTTAGCTCCCACAAGAGGGAATTCTGCAAGATAAGAGAAGTAAGCCAGCAGATAGGGTATTTTTCTTAAATTTTAAACTTTACTTATTTTTACACTTTAATTTCTGAGCTTGGTCATAAATAATATTCTTTGAAGAATGCAAGTTTAAAAGCCACAAAATGTGCGCGCGCACGCGCACACACACACACACACACACACACACACACACACACAATCCTTACCCTCCCCCCTCCCTCTCTCCCCCTTCCCCAGTAAACTGTACTCTGGTCACAGAATTGTCTGGATCTCACCTGAGTGAAGACTCCTTGGGAACTCCCACACTCATAAAGATGGCTTTCTGTTGGTTCCACACACTCACCACACTCCTGCCTTACACTCCATAGCACTCAGATGTGCCAGATGCTGAGCTGGGTTCACATTTCTATCTGAAACCCTGAGGACAGTGACTGTCATTTGCCTGTCTTTAGGACCTACCACATAAGTAACTTTGGTTGATTGAGACCTTATGGTCTAACGTGATCTACCCAGGAATATTTTGTGCCCGCCCCATTGGTATGTCTCAAACCTATGTGATCCCTTGAAGTCATTTAAAAGTATTTATTGTGCTTGGAGATGGAACCTAGGATCTTGTGCATGCAAAGTTGTGGACTCCAATCTGCATACCCAGCCCTTTGGGAGCATTAGAATACCCTTAAAGATATGGGAAGTCCGAGGCTAGCTGAGCTCCCTTGGCTTCAGTTAGAGCAACAGCGGACAGGAGCAACAGGCAAACAAGCCCAGGGGTCAGAACAACAAAGGTGACCCATTCAGCGGAACCCTTCCCAGATTGCCATTCAGTAGTGTGAGACTATCACTATCGCTGGTACTTGACTACCAGTGTCGTCCTACGACACCTGCCCAACCAGGACACCTGATACATCAGTCAGGCTTTTGGACAGGAATGGAACCCAGAGAGTGCAAACATATTACAAAGGGGATTAGCTTATACATATAATACAGCTGGGAAGCCCATCAATGGCTGTCTGTCTGTCCACTTAGAGTCGCTGAGAAACAAGTGGCTGCTGAATCCACGAAGGATCACACCACAGCTGTCCCAATCTGGAATTGAAGTCTCAGAAAACCACCGGTCTCCAGCCTATGACGCAAGGCTGAAGACACGAGGGATGTTTGCAGCAATGCAAACCACAGACCAGACACACTCATAAGCAAGGAGCAGAGACAGACAGGCAGAAGCAGAATCTCCTCTCTCTCAGATGCCTTTATAGTTGGGCCCACTGCCAGAAAGTTCTGCCCACTCTGGGGAAGGTCTTCCCGGGCAGCTAGTCTTTCCAGAAAACACTCACAGATCTGCTCAGAATTAACTATTTCTTCTTGATTCAGTTGAGTTGATCACCTAGACTAACCTTCACTTGTGGTGTCTGCTCACAATCCTATTCTGTGCTCACTGTGCCCTCACAAACCTCTGAAGCCTGGAGGGTGTGGAAGTTGTGCGGCTGGAATGGGAAGGAGGAAAGGGGGGATCAGAGCTCAGCAAGATGAAGGAGTAACAGTAGGGTAGCCCAGTAGTCCCTCAAGGCCAGGCTTGGGTTGTGACAGCAGTGAGGTTGACAGGGAGGTGGCAGAGAAGTGGTCTGTCAGGACTGGAACTTGATAGGAGCTTCTGAAAGAGTCACAGAGGGCTGGGGCTTCAGGATGAAAGTTTGGACATAGGTCCTGCTGCTTAGCTTTCTATGTCTTGCTGCGAGGGCTGACAAGAAGAACCACACACTCTGGAACCCTCTGGAGCACTGTCTATCAGGGATGGCCGGCTCTGGCTTGACTCTACCTCAGACATGAGCCTTTGTTCAGGCCACTCTGTCCTGCTCACACTGTCTCAAGGGTCTTCATTGTGTGTGTGTTGGGTGCAGGGGTGGGGTTCCATTTCTGCTACATCTTCTGATCCTGGGAGTTAAAGTTTAGAGTTGCATTCTGCTATAAGTTGTCTATTCAGGGACAAACCTCAAGGCCATAGGATAGTTGTGCTGTTCCACCTCCTACTTGCAGGATCTATGAAGGAGTTTGGTGGCCCTAGGGATATGGACATTTGTCTCCATGCTTGTGATCTCTGCTCATGAATATATGTATAATAAGAGGCTGCTGGTGGCCCTGACTCCCGGAGACATTTTACTTTATATTCTACAAAAGAGCAATAACTAAGAAATGTGTGGTTGCTGGTGGCAGGTTCTGAAATTGCTTTCCTCTCTCATGCGACCTGAGTTGGGGATCCTTGTTGTCAACCTCGTCTTAAAGAGTTGTGCTAAGAGGTACGGAGAAAGCAAGCACACAGCCTGCATTTACTCAGCCGGGAAGAGACAGGGCAGCCTCCATTGTTGTGCTGTGTGCTGTGTTTGAGGCAAGGCAGCGGGCTATGGCAGGGCTCCAAACCCCAAAGGGACTCCATGAAGAAAAGGAAGCCAAGTCAAAGGGTTTTGAAGCTTTACATCACGTTCATGTGTTCGTGCCTTTAGGATTCCAGTAAATTACTCAGGTATGAGTCTTCCCCTCTGACATGACTGATGTTTCCTCAAGCTTCAGGCGCTGGAGAACGCGATGCTTATTGTCCAGAGATTACAAAGAGCTCTGGCTGTCTTCTGGGCGGCAGTGGCGGCTCAGTGAAATGAGTGGGAGAGAAAAAAAAATACAAGATCCACAATGCGGCTGCGCCATTCAACTAAGAGACAGGCCCCGCCCCAGCCGTTGTTCATCTCTGCCCGCTCGCTTTCTCTATCTCGGGAGATGTACTTTGAAGGTAGTGTGGGCAAAACTGCACCACGTGAGGGTCGAAGGTCGGCTTCAGACAGGTCTAAGATTGATGGGAGCCCAGGGGCAAAGCCCATCCTGGAAGCTCCGCTCTCGGTTCCAGGTGATGTAGATTTGAACCTGGCTCCTTAGAAGGCTGACAGAGACACAGACAATGTTCAGAGCTGACTACATTAATTTATTGGAAACAGATCAAGACAGAGATTAGAGGGAGGGAGGACCGTGGCTCTAGCTTCTGGCTCACAGTTAAGGCAGGGTAGGTGGTGATCTAGCCCCGCCCCTAGACTCCCAACACCACGGCTCCAAAGGGACTTCTAGAAGCCAGTATTCCCTTCTGAGAGCAAGGGGGTCGGTCCTCTAGGGAGACCAGAGGGGTCGAGAGTGAGTCTCTTCAAAGTGAGCAAGTGGCTGAGGCCCTTGTTCTAGGTCCCAACATTGGTCAGCCAGAGATGGCTCAGGGTGAAATGCTATGCTAGGGCCAGGATGTGAAAGCAGTTTTTAACATTTACGGCCACAGGACACAGCTGAGCCACAGGGCGCACACAGGCCTGTGTTCACTGCCAAATTTCCGCTGCAGGGGGCGCTGCAGGCACTGCCGGTCACTGGCCTCGAACCTGACACGCACAGGTCCCCACACACAACTCCTCCGCGGGAGCTGCTGACGCCTGCGGATCCAAAAGAATGAGTCAGAGCGGGGAGGCAGATTGGAGTGGAGGGTGGGATGGTGATGGGTGGGTCGCGGGGCAGTAGCCGGGGAAACCTGATTTCCTAAGGACCCTGTTCCCTGATCCCGAATCCCTGGGATTAAAAGCCAGACCCCTTTCTGTGAAGAATCTGGTTCCATCTAGATCTGACCGCAAATCCCTTCTGCTGCTGTGGAATCTCCTCTACGGCATTTAGTTCTCATCTAAACTCCTTTCACCCTCTGCCTGCTGTCACAGGCAGTAAACCTGTTCATACCAAAGCTCCAGTACTTACAGACATTCACAGCTCCTACACCTTCACACAGTCTGGGGGAAGAGAAGAAAGAACTTATGAAAGCCAACACAGTAGCAAACACTGCCCCCCCACCTCCACCCCCCACTCCCAATTTTGCTCCAAAAGTCAAAATTTTTCCCCAAGAGTTGGTTAGAACACGGTCCATTATAAACACAGCCTCAAAGGGATCGATGAAAGATTTGCCTCCAAAGTCTGGCTATTGGCCAGTCAAGGTCAAGATGGGGTTTGCTTCCTCTGGGAAGGACCCACCTCTGTTCTTCACCCTCCAGCAGGCGCCTGTAGGTGGCGATCTCGATGTCCAGCCCAAGCTTGGAGTTCATCACCTCCTGGTACTCCTTGAGCAGGCAGGCCAT